CATCTACTATCCCATGTGCACCTAGTCATGTATTTTCAATGTGTTATGTTACAAAGAAATTAGATTAGAAAGCTTACTTAAAGATTGAAACAAGTTTTGCCTTGATAAAAATTTGTAGACAAATAGGCTTACATTCATTCAAACATTTAAGTCACAGCAGGAAACAACGTTAGTCTCTCTGTATTTCACTGCTAATGTAGAATTAAATGTTTAAGAAAATCCATCCCTCCCTTTAAGAGAATGCACTTATTTAGTGTTATCATTACAGAGCTCTAAACAGTGCTCCAGTGACCTAAGAGATGCATCCCCAAGCACTTATTTCCTAAAAACAACATTCATTCTCAGAAACTTCTGGTTCATGATGTAGGGTTAAATCTATTATTTATACTACTCCTGGGAAACAGAAACCAATTTTATTTGCACCCTCTCAAGTTTGAAACATTTATTCTGCTTCCTCCTCACTCCACAAATTATAGATACACGACTATTTTCTTTATTGGCAATTAAGTGGAGTATTTGCCAGGACTAGCTGTCAAATGTAGCTAAATTAGATTATAGCATATATTGGGTCATCAAAAAAGTCATAAGGTATTTTTCTGTTGTTCTATGCCAAAATGTGTCAAGTTTTTTTGATAACCCAGTATTAAAACAAAACTAAAAAGAGCTAAAAACTCCTATGAAGGCTACACTGTGATTTTCAAGTATATGGCCATGAAATCTATAGAAACTTCTGGAAATAATGGATCTATGCACTACAGGCAACATTTTAATATCCTTAATAGATATCATATATTTAGTAAATTTAATACTATGGAAATGCCAAATTATTTTGCTCTGGTCTAAATTTATATTGGCTCAGAATAATAGCAATACTACAAGAAAAGTTGATTATCTATTTGTGAACAAATGCATGCTGATACACAAATTCTTTAAAAAAAAGTTTTGGGGGAGATGAAAACCAAAGGCGATACGAGTGATCAGAAAGAACTATAATAATTCCAGTGGCTATTTTGTATTCTTCATTGATATTAGCACTGTAAAATCAAAATACAAATATATTCTATTGTTAAAGGTGTTCAATTTCAAACATATTAATAAGATTTCATTAAATACTTTAGCTTTAAATGCTACTGATCAAGCAAATGATATATTGGGTTGTCTGAAAAGCTATGATGCATTTTTTTTTAGAGGTTTTTGCTGTAGGGTGCATGTGCTTGCCAGAAAGAGAGAGACAGAGAGACAGAAAGTGAGAAATCACCCCCCAGGGGGGATGGCCACACTGCAATCCCTTCTCCACCATTCTCCTTTCAGGATTTTGGACACGCATGTACACACGTCTGGCGGGAGTTTAAGCCACCAGGTCTGGGACTCAGAACGTGGTCGACTTCATGGGAGTCCATTGACAGAGCCATTATGCCTACTGCTGGTCCCACATGATGCATTTTTTTACACAGAAAAAAAATATGTCAAAAAATATGACTTTCGGCGGAGCTGCCCACTGCGGAGGCCCTCACTTCCACCTGGTCCCGGATATATGTAACTATATAGAAGTAAAATGAGCACGCATGACCATTTCAGCCTGGCTTATGTTATCTTTTAGAAGTATAAAAAATAGTATGAGTTTTTTCCTGGTGTTTTTCCTCAAATGTTTCCCTCGTTACTAATTTTATGACCATCACAAGCTCCCTCCCCCAGCCCTTATACTGCCCTCTGCCCCTCACTTAGGGCCTGAGCCATGGAATTGGCCCTGGGGCAGCAGGAACCTGTTGTTTCAGAAGTTGGTGACCTTTGAGGATGTGGCAGTGTACTTCACTCAGACGGAATGGGATGACCTGTCTCCTGCACAGAGGGCCCTGTACAGGGATGTGATGCTGGAGAATTACGGGAATGTGGCCTCCCTGGGTTTTCCGCTTCTCAAACCTGCTGTGATCGCACATCTGGAGGGAGGAGGTGATATGGGGGGCCCATTTCCACTAGCTACTGGGACAGAAATAGGCTCCCAGGTCCTCTGGACTGTAGATATTTATATCCAGACTGGTAATTACTTGACGCAGGAAGTGTGAAGGAGGAAAACAGTAGCATTGTTGATGGAACAGTGGAAGGTGAAACAGGCACCAAGGAGGAGTGTTTCTCTAGTCATAGTCTAAACTTGCATCAGTGTCATATCACCTCCACTGGAGAGCAGCCCCCTGTGTGTACAGGACAGGAGAAAGCCTTCCACTTTGATACAAAACTTAATAAGCATGAAATAATTACTACTGGAGAAAGACCTATAAAATGTGAAGAATTAGTGGGAACCTATAGGTGTGACTCTCAACTTAATCACCATCAAGAAAGCCACGGTAGGGAGAATTTGTATCAGTGTACAGAGTGTGGCAAAGCCTTCAGCATTAATGCAAAATTAATTTGGCATCAAAAACTTCATGGTGGGCAGAAACCCTTCAGATGTGTGGAGTGTGGGAAAAGCTTCAGCTACAGTTCCCATTACATCACACATCAGACAATCCACAGTGGGGAGAAGCCCTATCAGTGTCAGGTGTGTGGGAAAGCCTTCCGTGTCAATGGAAGTCTAAGCAGGCATCAGAGAGTCCACACAGGAGAGAAGCCCTATCAGTGCAAGGAGTGTGGAAATGGTTTCAGCTGCAGTTCTGCATATATTACTCATCAAAGAGTCCACACTGGGGAGAAACCTTATGAATGTAATGACTGTGGGAAGGCTTTCAATGTGAATGCAAAATTAATTCAGCATCAGAGAATCCACACTGGAGAGAAGCCTTATAAATGTACTGAATGTGGGAAAGGCTTCAGGTGTAGCTCCCAACTTCGGCAGCATCAGAGCATTCACACTGGAGAGAAGCCCTTTCTGTGTAAGGAATGTGGGAAATCCTTCAGTAATAATGCTAAACTCATTCAACATGGAAGAATCCACACAGGTGAAAAACCCTTTGAGTGCAGTGAATGTAGAAAAGCCTTTAGCGTGAAGGGGAAGTTAATCCAGCACCAGAGAATCCACACAGGTGAGAAGCCTTATGAGTGTAATGAATGTGGTAAAGCCTTCAGGTGTAACTCCCAGCTTCGGCAGCATCTGAGAATCCACACTGGGGAGAAGCCCTACAAGTGTAGTGAATGTGGAAAGGTCTTCAATGTTAATACAAAGCTAATACAGCCTCAAAGAGTTCACACTGGGGAGAAACCCTTTGAATGTACAGAGTGTGGGAAATGCTTTACTTCCAAAAGAAACTTACTTGATCACCACCGAATCCATACTGGAGAAAAGCCTTATCAGTGTAAGGAATGTGGGAAAGCCTTCAGCATCAATGCCAAATTCATTCGACATCAGAGAATACACACAGGGGAGAAACCTTTCAAGTGTATGGAATGTGAAAAAGCATTTAGCTGTAGTTCTGACTACATTGTGCACCAGAGAATCCATACTGGAGAGAAACCCTTTCAGTGTAAGGAATGTGGAAAGGCCTTCCATGTTAATGCCCACTTAATTCGACATCAGAAAAGTCACACTGGGGAGAAACCCTTTAGGTGTGTGGAATGTGGCAAAGGCTTTAGCTATAGTTCAGACTGTATTATACACCAGACTGTCCACACTTGGAAGAAATCCTATGTGTGTATTGTGTGTGAGAGAGCCTTCAGGTTTAATTTTCAACTTAGCATCAGAGTGTTCATGGTGAAGGAAAATCCTAATAGTGAAAAGAATTTATAAAATCAAGATTAATGTCAAAATGGATTAAGTTTCATCAAATTTGCCTTGTTGGAAATAAGAGGGTAATTAATATGGTGGAGTCTTCACATGGAAATAAACCTTTTCGTTTTACTCAATTTTTAATCAGAAATGGGTGACTATAACATAATATCCAAAAATAATTAGCTTTTTATTTTATACAACCAACCAACTAAAAGTATAAAGAAGTACAATATCCCATTCCCAGCAGGGTCAAAAAAAGTAAATTTTGGGGGCCAGCAGTTAGCGCAATGGCTGTGTCACTGGACTCCCATGTAGTCAACTGCAGTTCGTGTCCCAGACTCGGTGGCTTAAACTCACGCTGGGCACGTGTGCATGCGTGCCCAAGATCCCAAGAGGAGAATGGAGGAGAAGGGATTGCAGCATGGCCATCCCCCCTGTGGGTGATTTCTTGCTTTCTGAGTCTCTCTCTCTCTGTCAGGTGAACACATGCGCCCTATAGCAAAAACCTCTTAAAAAAAGATAATAAATTTTTTAGACAGTGACTACAGGATCTATATGGAGAAAGCTAAAGTCTTAACTGAGGGCCATCAAAGGAACTTGAGTAAATGGGAGGGAAAGAAACTTTGTTTTTGGATAGTAAAACTCCGTATTATAAAGGTATTCATTCTACCTAAATTAATTTATTTGTTTAATTTTTGACAAGCATGTATTCGTTTTGTAAAGAGGAAAAACAAAAAAGATTTTCTTTAAAAAAGAAAAAATATATATGACTTTCTCGACGACCTCTATTAGTCCAAATTGCATGGAAAAATTGTAGGCAAGATGAAGATAAATAGAAAAAGGTAAAAGAAGGGGAAAAATTTAAAAAGCACTGAACTGTGTAATGTAAATAAAAAGCATATTTATTGCAATCAATGCTTTTTAAAGATGCTATTCATATATGGAGCCTGGAAGTTCATGGAAAATGGCATTAAAGGACAAGTTTATTGCCTAAAAAATTGAAATCCGTGAATAGGCTTTTTCATAATATGCATTTACAAGTACTATCATAATGAGAATGATAGGTGCATACCACTTATTTAGTTCACCAGGTTATAGTAAGACTGGAGAAGGAACTCAAGCCAGGATCTCTGTTGTTAAAATCCTATCTGCATTGGAACCAGCAGTTGGCATAATGTCTATGTTGCTGGACTCCCATGTGGTTGACCACGATTCGAGTCCCAGACCTGGTGGCTTAAACTCATGCTGGGTGCACATGCATGTGTGCCCAAGATCCCAAGAGGAGAATGGAGGAGAAGGGATTAAATCATGGCCATCCTCCATCTCTCTGCCTCTCTCTGTCTTTCTGGCAAGTGCACTTGCCCTATAGCAAAAAAAGTGTCACCAACTTAGAGATACCAGGCAAAAAATCTGAAACAATACAAAAGTTTTAAGAGCTTAATGTAATTAGTATACAATAAGAGCCAATGGATTGCAGAAATTAAGAATAGAGGTAGTTCAATGGGGCTGAAACAGAAAGGACACAGAGGATGTAGAAGTGTACTGGGTCCTGTAGAGGGTAAGATGTCTTTAGACCCAGTCCTGGCAATGCAGACAGTAAGGGAGCTCCTCCAAGAAGCTGGAGCCACGTGGCAAACCTGATTTAAGTCCCAGAACAGCCCGAAGAGGCTCAGCAAGGGAGGTGGTCCCTATGATCTTGACTAGCTGGGAGGCTGAGGCAAAGGAAATAAATTTAAAAAAAAATGCCCACTCTCTCTCCCTCATCCTGCTGTCCTCTCTCTGTCTCTCTTCATCACCCACCAACCAAAAGAAAGCAAAACACACACACACACACACACACACACACACACACACACACAGAGTAATTGGATAAAAGGTCAAGAAGAAATAATTTTGGGAACCAGCAGTTAGCGTAATGGCTATGTCGCTGGATTCCCACATAGTCGACCGCGGTTCGTGTCTCGGACCCGGTGGCTTAAAAACTCACGCCGGGCGTGTGTGCGTGCGTGCCCAAGATCCCGAGAGGAGAATGGAGGAGAAGGGATTGCGGCGTGACCATCCCCCCTGGGGCGTGATTTCTCGCTTTCTGTCTCTATGTCTCTCTCTGTCTGTCTGGCGAGCGCACGCGCCCTACAGTGAAAAATCTCTCTCTCAAAAAAAAAAAAGAAATAATTTTGATCATAAGAGTTAAATTGATATCTATTTCTTATTTGACATGTAGTTTAGGTTTCTTCAGTAAGACTGGAGAAGGAACTCAATATCTGTAATACTTTGGGACAAAAGTATTTCAAAGTTTGGATTTTCTTTCTGGTTTTGGAATATTTGCACATACACAATGAAATAGCTTGGGGATAGAACTCAAATCTAAGCACACAATTTATATGTGTTAAACCTAAGTTATTTTATGCAAAATTTTTAATCATTTTGTGAATGACACAAAGTTTGAGTACAAAAAAAGATCAGAAAGCTAGGTTATGGGACACCAGGTGGCGTGGTGGTGCTGTGGACTCCCACATGGTCTACCACAGTTTAATTTCCGGACATGGAAGCTTGAACATCAAGCCAGGCATGTATGCATGGGCGTCCCAAAATCCTGAGAGGAGAATGGAAGGGAAAGGATTGCAGTGTAGCCATCCCCCACCCCCCTGGGGGGGATTTCTCACTTTCCCTCTCTCTCTTTCTGGTGAACACATGTGCCCTATGAGGGGAAAATAAATAAATAAAGATAGATTTGAGTCACCAATGATGGGTATTATTGATGAGCATTTTCTCTGAACTGAAAATAATGATGAATAAATACACTTCAAGTAATTTAATGTTTGTGCCTGATGCTTCATTCTGATCATCCTTATTTATCTTTTTTTTGTTTTTTGGAGAGGTTTTTGTGCTATAGGGCGCGTGCGCTCGCCAGACAGACAGAAAGAGACAGAGAGACAGAAAGTGATAAATCACCCCCCAGGGGGGATGGCCATGCCGCAATTCCTTCTCCTCCATTCTCCTCTCGGGATCTTGGGCACTCACGCACACGCGCCCGGCATGAGTTTTAAGCCACTGGGTTCAGGATGCGAACCGTGGTCGACTACGTGGGAGTCCGGCAACATAGCCATTACGCTAACTGCTGGTCCCCATTCTTATTTATCTTTAAAGCAACTTCTGCAAAAGATTCTTAGTAAACTACTATCAGAAGTTTAGATCTCAAATGCATTCTGAAGTGGCATTCAAATAAATGAAATAGTTTTCATTAACCCTTTTGTTGTTAAAAAAAATCTAAGATACGAGACACTGAATATACTTTAGAACAAGTGAACCTTAACATATTCCTTAAAAATAGAATAAAGATGCAAATATTTTCCATAAAAAACCTTATCTACAAGAACATGGGAAAAAAGCAATCACTAGCTTCACAGTTTCTCAGCTATAATTAAATTTCAGAGATGAAAAATATTAATTCTATTTGATTTATATATAAATAAAATTTCAAAATATAAACAACAAAATCTCAGTGTCTATTTTTTTAATCTTGCATTTAGCTTTATCTCATATACTCCAGGGGAAAATAAAGATATATGTGGTTGAAATCTTTCTTAGCATATGTTCTAGCAACTGTATTTATTTCAAATGAACTTTCTAACATGAACAAATAAACCAACAGAGGATGCCTGGAGGAAATTATAAAATCACATTAAAATATTTTCAGTTGTATAATATAAAAAGTGAACCCCCAAAGCCTGATTTACTCAAATATCATAATGAACTTTCCAGCGTTTTTATCAATCAATGCTATTTCAATATGATAAATTTAAAAATAAGTGCATTTATACATAAGCTATTTTATTTTTGTTTTGTTTGTTTTCTAAAATACACATGTGAATACAGATATTTGGTATATTATACATGGTATGTGGATTTACTTCACTTCCATCACTTTTAAAAATTTATTTTATTATTATTATTATTATTATTTACACATTCAATCGCTATACATGATTTAGATTATAAAGATATTTTACCTAGAATGATACACATTTTAGTGCAGTTGAGAATACTATACACATCCTCATCAACAGATAACAAACTATGTCTGTGTCCCACGAATATCTTCTTCTCCATTTTTCCCCTAATTTCCTTTTCTGCACTCTTCCGCGCCCATACTCTCCTTCCACCACTTGTTAAATTAAGACTAAAAACTGGAATCCCAGCAAAGTAAAAAAAAGAAAGGATATTTCACTTGAAAATCTGAGGGGGAATAAAATGAACAAACAAAAATCCTCTGTACTACTAAAGTGCTAAAATCGATGAAGAGTAGGACAGAAGAGAATTTAGGGAGGAAGATACTTATCAGATTGTGGAATACCATGTTAAGCAATTTCATTTTTAAAGACAGTGAAAATGATTCAGGGAAGTCAAGTTCGCATTTCTGAAATGCAAAGCAGAATGCTAAAATGGAAAGGAAAAATCCAATGAATAAAATCATTTCAATGGCTAAGGCCATAGGAACTGGAGAGTAGAAAAGGGACTTAAAATATTTTTTAGGAGTTTTGTTTTTTAAGACTCATCTCAAAATTTTAACCATACTCTCTGCTACAGACACATGACAAAGAGAGCATATGTACATACACAGAGACATTCATACATGGAACATAGATAGACTATTGAACAGAAATGCAAATCGGTAGATAGCGTAATGTGACTAGTTTATTGGTCTACAAATGGAAAAAATAATGATTGAGAATTCAGTTATAGAAAAATGAATTTTAAATGGGAAAGCCACTAAGATTTGAAAGTAGATTATCACTGAGACATTGTCCATTCTGACTGGAATATTTACCCAAAACAATTACTGTACCTCACTTTTTGAGTTAACTAAACCTAGATAATCTGACTTAGTGTTTTTAGAAAGATATGAAAATACAGAATTACTAAAAAGCAACCTAAATAATACTAAAGTAGAAAGGTTTAGGAAGCATCGGACTTGATAACATTTGTAGGTGAATAAGAG